GTATGTATTTCAGTGCCTTTCGCCATAATGACTCAGACCCAGAAGCTGCTAAAGTATTAATAATTTTCTTTTTCTTTTGAATTTGTGATAACCAGAGAAAAAAAGTTTAATTAGTTTACTGATCTATCGATTCCTTTACTATATATAATCTAGTACAATCATATGTCTATCTATGTGATTTTGTGTGGACATTAGTCTTGTTAGTTTCATGTAAAATTGGCATTTCTTCACCATGGCCATATGCGTTTACCATCAGTCAAATCATAACAGTTTTAAGAACAAACCAAACGAGAGAAAGGGAACGAGTGAGGGAGAAAGAGAGAGAGAGAGAGAGAGAGAGAGAGAGAGAGAGAGAGAGAGAGAGAGAGAGAGAGAGAGAGAGAGAGAGAGAGAGAGAGGGAAGGAGGGAGGGAGGGAGAAAGAGAGAGAGAGAGAGAGAGAGAGTCTGTTATCAGGCCAGGCCGTTCCCAGCGCAACCAGAAGCAACTCCGACGCATATTCGGGGAGTAAGCCAGCCTTATCTTTGTCACAGAGTCGTACTACCGGTGCAGGGGAGCTAAGTGAGAGCCATTATGCGCCTTCGAGAATCTATACAAGAGGGTTATTTTCGTCTACGCTCGGGTTTTATCGTAACAAACAGGATATAGCGCGGCAATCCTGCTGGCTCTCAGGCTCCACGGACGAAAGTCTAAAATTATTCAGAATTGAGATCGTGCTTCTAGATATGTTCATGGCGTTTGTTATCAATAGGCTAGACATGAATATTCCATGGTAGGAGTTTGAAATCGCTTTTTCTCTCTCTCCTTCCCTCCGATTTATTGGTCTGGTTCCTACCATTATCCCTCAACTTTCATTCGCAATTCTTTCCCTCTCTTATTCCATCTCCTCTTCGCCTCTGGCAGGCAGACACCGGAGCCTCCGGTTGCCACGAAGAGCAGCCCAGAGGCGCCATCTGCAGTTGTTGCCAGGATCAGTAAGGACGGTTTGCCAGTCCGCTGGCGTCCGCGCGCACCGCAGAAGGCTGTCGCAAAACCTTCGTTTACAGCGAACTCACAACGCACACACACACGAACGCAGTCACGTACTCAATCGTATGCAAGCAGACGTACTGTGTATATGCAAGGCGGTAAAAAAAGCAAAGCAGAGAGGGAGAGGGAGAGGAAGGAGAGGGAGGGAGGGAGGGGGAGAGAAAGAGAAAGAGAAAGAGAGAGAGAGAAGAAGAGAAGAGAGAAGAGAGAGAGAGAGAGAGAGAGAGAGGGAGGGAGGGAGGGAGGGAGGGAGAGAGAGAGAGGAGGGAGGGAGTGGGAGAGGGAGAGGGAGTGGGAGAGGGAGAGAGACAGAGACAGAGATAGAGATATAATAAAAAACATCTTATGCAACATAAATTAGCAAGGGATCACACACACACACACACACTAAGAGAGAGAGAGAGAGAGAGAGAGAGAGAGAGAGAGAGAGAGAGAGAGAGAGAGAGAGAGAGAGAGAGAGAGAGAGAGAGAGAGAGAGACAGACAAGCAAGAAGGCAGACAGACAGAGAGGGGGGGCTAGTGTACGCTGACAAACCCTGATACTGCGGTACAGTTCACAAAGACCGAAGCACCCTCAGTTCCTTTTCCCCTCTTAAATTAGGGATTTCTTACCTCCCTTTCCCCCATCGCTAACGTGATGTTTACATTTTCCAGCAGGTCACCCCCCCCCCCATTTCCACGCCCACCCATCAACGCCATTAGGAGTATAGGAACGTTGATAAATTCTCCTCAGATGTCGTATATATTTTAAGATAGTATAGGCAGATCAGTTTACAAAAATATACTTACAGAAAATTATAGACCTAATGTATATTTGATATTACCAAAAAACAAGGCAATTAATAATATTACTTAAAAATTGCCTATTAAGGGATCAATAACCAGAAAGCAATTGGTTGTTGCACTATCAGTCATTACGTATAATCATAATTTTTTATTAGGTTAATGGTAATGGAGGTTCCATTAGGATATAGTCTACTGAAACGTTCTTGTGTACGAACTATTTTGATGCTCTATGTAACTAAATGAAAAAATTACTTTATTTTTTTCTCTCTGGCAGCTAAAGTGCACTTCCTTTCTGACATTTATTTCTTTTCAGCCAATATTTCAATCCATTCTGGAGACGCGAAGCTGAACAGAACGATGACTGAAGACGCATATCTTATTTTTTCGCTAACTGGCTTTGATAAGATAACGTGATAGATAAGAATTAGTGTAGATCTGGCCTGAAGTACTGCTCTCTGTTACTTGCTTTTGGGAATTTCTCTTCTCCATCTCTCTCTCCCCCTCTCTCTCGCATTCTCTCTCTCTCTCTCTCGCTTTCTCTCTCTCTCTCTCTCTCTCTCTCGCTTTCTCTCTCTCTCTCTCTGTCTATCTGTCTCTCTCGCTTTCTCTCTCTCTCTCTCTCTTCTTCCCCACTTCTCTCTCTCTCTCTCTCTCTCTCTCTTTCTCTCTCTCTCTCTCTCTCTCTCCCTCCCTCCCTCCCTCCCTCTCTCTCTCTCTTTCTCTTTCTCTTTCTCTCTCTCTCTCTATCTCCTCTCCCCCCCCTCTCTCTTTCTCTACCTCTATCTCTCTCTCTCTCTCTTTCTCTTTCTCTCTCTCTATCTCTTTCTCTTTCTCTTTCTCTCTCCGCACTCACCAGTGACACAGGCGAGGAGCCACAGTCCGAGGAAGGCCTTCCGAGCGCCGTCCATCCTGTCTGGGTCGTCGGCGGGAAGTCCTGTTCAGAGGGGTGTCTTGCCTTTCAGAGTCCTGCGGGCGCTCCTCCTGTAGGATGCATTCCCGGTCGCCTTGCGAATCCCCCAGCGTCCTCCAGAAGGGAAAAGATCGACCCAGCGGTTCTCTGAGGAAAGAGAGAAGTTAGGCGTCTCGTGGGGCAGAAGCATTCTATCAGACCTTTCTGGAATTCTTACAAAAGATGTAAAAAACTTATGAATAAAAAAAAAGAAAAAGGGCACGTTAAACACGACGGTTCCAATGCTACTAAATATAAGATATAGAGATAAGTAAAGAAAAGATAAAGAAGTAAAAAAAGAACGACTGTAGCAACTCGACTGTAACATTAATAAAAATCTAAATCCAAAAAAAGGACAATCAAATCCCGCCATCGGGTTGCATGACGTCATGGCAATCTCTTATCAGGGATTTATGTGCTTGCGGGTTCAGTGCGCTTGTGCCCCTTTGTGTGTCTGCTTGCACGTATTTGTGCGGTTTTTCTGCTGATGCCTAAACGATAATTGAATTTGATCTTATAAATAGATAGATGAAGAGATAGATCTCTGCCTATATAAATTTCTGTGTGTGTGTGTGTGTGTGTGTGTGTGTGTGTGTGTGTGTGTGTGTGTGTGTGTGTGTGTGTGTGTGTGTGTGTGTGTGTGTGTGTGTTTCTGATTATTAGGTTTTTATTTCATATTTAAAATATTTGATTTTATCTTTGAAAATATTTCATTCCAATAAAGCCTCGAAACACGACCATGAATATTGTCAAATATGGAATATTCGTCAGACAAATATGACTACGTGAAGAGTTAGGCATCTCCTTCGCCTCGTAACGTGTGGATTTCCGAGGAAACCAATTGACCCCTTTAGATACAAGCATTTTTTTTCGCTACAACTAACAACCATCGATCTCCAGCTGGTATGTAAACAGACCTACGCGTAGCAGCTCGAAACGTTGGACTGTGAGGCTAACGTTGTGTTCGGCGGCGAACATTCACGGGCCGTTAGCCCAGCATGTTGGCTGTCAGGTGTCAAGTGACGCAGGACGTGTGTGTGCGCGCGTGTAACTGCTTGTGCATAAAAGTGTGCTCAGTATATCTCATGATTTGAAGTAAAAGCACTTATAACATAATCTATTTCTCGTAACTTTATATGCTACACTTTGGTAAATCCTTTCAAAATATATCATGACGCATAATGGAATTACATACACCTGTCCTCACCGACCATTCCCCGATAGCCTTAGGTACAGCCCCCCCCCCCCACTGCTCACAAAAAAAAGAAAAAATAATGAACTTTTTTAGGAATACAAGTAAAGATTTAAGGTAATGTTTTTAAATCTCACAGGCCATGCCCCGATAGCCTCAGGCACAGTCTCCCCCTCCCCCCCAAGTGCTGTAAAAGCAAGAAAAAAAATCATGAATTCATTCATAAATACAAGTAAGGATCTAAAATTGTAAACTAATGTTTTTAATGAGATTTACTCCAATCCAATCAAGCCGTATGTAGCACGAGAATGTAAAGAAACACAAAGGTGCCAGTTCCCTTGTCCACTGAAAACTGTTTTACAAGGTACAATTGCAGACAACTGTTATGGTACTTAAGATTTATCTCCCTTCTCCCAGTCTGTTCTGCAAAATGTTCATCTAATATATTCTTGCAAGACAGCCTGCAAATATGTTTTAGTAATATATAGTTCCCCGCACTTCTAATTAGCGCACCACGAGACTGGAGGTAACAATTTTTATCTGGCAATGCCTATGTTGTGTGCAGTATTCCGCGAGGGGAGAGATCGGCCTTTAACGATGACTGATAAGTTGAAATGATTTTTCTTCGAGAGGAAAGAAATCCGTTCGAGGAAAGGATATTCAAATGTCATAACTAATCAAATTACAAAATTTAAGAACACAGATTTACTTTCTTCAACAGATGTCTCTGCGAAAAACAATATCCCCTTAGATTTGACAACTGCGACTAGGCTGTGCTTGCCACCTACTGGGGAACTGAGTGAAACAGAATCTGTTTTTATTTTGAGGAAGTAAAACTTTATCGACAGTTAAAGGCCATATATGATAAGACTATAAAAGTTGACAACAGAACTAGCGAAAGGCACAAGCATTTTTATTTGTGAAAAACATATTCACGATGTTTTTACGCCTGATTCTCCGGCCTCGGAGTTTGTTGTCGTGTGTGTGTTTATAGATATATTTTCTTATAGACACTTACGTATGTATATGTATATCTTTCTATATCTACATCTATATATACATATATGTATAGGTATACATATACGTGTATATATGTATATATAGATATAGATTGATAAACATAGATAAGCCAGTTCCAACTGATCTTTCGTTAAGGAAAACACTACATATTTCAAGTATTAATGATGGTATTGTGCAAAACATTATAACATTGCCAAACTTTATTGGCTGATAATAGATGTCAGTGTAAATATTTTCAAAATAGCACGAGCTAATCACAGGCTTCGTTAGAAACAAGAGCATTCAAGTCACAGAATATTGGATACTATACATGTATTGCCAGTACAAATTTACAAATTCAATCCTTGCAATAAAAAGAGTATACCAGTTGGAACTGTGGGGAACTGTGCATTTGCGATGTACAGGGCTTACCTAACAACTGTTCACCTCGAATGCCTTTGCAGGACAAATGTCTCGACCCCTTACCGATCTGGATGATTTCTTCCCTATAGCGATTAATGACGGGTCGTTGTGGGTAACTGCTTTATTGAAGTAGATTTATTTTTATTTAAACTGGGGTGATAAATAGCAACATAAATATTGATTGAAGAACTACACACACAGGCATCCTATTTCAAATTTGTTTAGATCCTATTCTAACACTTATTATTATCATTATTATGGCAAGTTTAAAATGACACCGAATAAGATACTACGTGAGCACGGCGATTTTCTGAAAGCTAAACCCTCTCACCCACACCTGATCGGTATGTACGTGGGTATCTATTACAACTCTTATTGGATCTAACAGACTGGTCACGAGGATTTTCTGTCACGCCACAACAAGGTACAGTTCCTATTGGCTCACTTGGTATCCTTTGCATGCAGCTTGCGCTACAACTGCGTCCTAGTTATGTCAGTTGATTATTTCTAGGCTAGGATTCGAGCCGCAGAATCCACCTTGAAAGGACGTTCCTCTCCTCTCTTTCTGCGGTGAATCAGTCTTTGGGTGGCTGATTCACAGGGATTAGAGGAACCTACTGGAAAATGTGTTCGACGGGGTGCAGCGGTTGGCACTCTAATGACCTCTCGGTCTCAAGATTTTTGCTTGGGTGGTTTAAAGATGTGCATTGGACTTCTCCCACAGCAAATTCGGCCTTGGTCCTTGTGTGATACCCTGGCTGTTTCGCGATCACCCTTCGTTGCTGCCGCGATTGTAGTTGCTTGCAATTAGCTACATGCCCTATAGCCATTTTTTTCCTCTACGGTTTTTTCGCCATTAGGATAACTCTCTGCGCACCTTCTGGTGAACTGGACCCCATCTTTGGGGTCGTGCTCGGACGTGGGCAGACCTTTACCTCCCGCAGGGCAGGGTGTGTCTGGGGGGAGGGGGGCTTAGTGTGCCTGCCTTACGGTGTGCAGATAGTTGCCATTCTATTTACTAGGGACTGGTATGGCAGACCATATGATGACTGTCCCTCTTGTTTTTTTTCGCATAGGAATGAATAGGCAGGAAGGAGCCCCTCCCTTTCTGAGACTCTCAGCCACTTCACCTTGGTTCTGTTTAATTAGCCCCTGTTGGACAGAACACCGTTTTCCCGTACCGCCACAGGAACCGCCTCGAAAGGCAGTTCCTCTCCTCCATCGCAGTGGTGAATCAGCCTTTGGGTTGCTGTTTCAGAGGGATGAAGGAACTTCCTTGAATAGATGCAGGGCCTCTCTTCCCTCACTGAGGTGAAACAGCCTTTGGGGGGCTTTTTCAGAGGGAAGAAGGATTCACTTTCAAAAGGTACAGGTCCTCTCCTTCCTCACTGAGGTGAAACAACCTTTGGGTAGTTGTTCCAGAGGGATGAAAGGAGCCGTCTGGAAAAGGTGCAAGAGCTCCCTTCTCTCACTGAGGTGACTCTTGTCACACCTGCCAAAATGGACAAGACAGAGAAATCATCAGCCACAAACATGTCTGTCCATCAGATTGTCCAGTGGATGGACTGTCGTACTGGTCTCTCCAAGCCTGCAGCCAAGTCAAGGAGGCCTCTGAGTTCCCCTCAGATGTCATCCCTGACTGAGATGGGAGCACAAGCTGAACAAGTCGAAACAGCTGCTGCTCCCATGTGCAAAGCCCAGAGCCGAAAGGGCAGACCGAAACGACCAAGGCCGGAGACAGACTCTGAGGGAGAGTCTGGACCCCCAAGGCATTTCCCTCAGTTCAAAGTTCCCTCTAAACCCGAAGGCTTCGACAATGCCTACCAACTGGTCAGAGCATTGGAGAAAAATCCGGTTGTCGATCTGGGTTGCCAGACTGGCATGATTATCATGTCCAAAGACCAAGCTACCCTGAATTTCCTGCAGGAAACGAAGGAGCTTAAAGATGGGAGGAAAGTAGGAGAGTCAAGATGGTGCTACTTGGCTTCCCAGTTTTGTATGATGTGGAACCGATCACATCACATCCACAGGTCGTGGAGGCTTCCCGAATGTCGAAAGGGAAGACTCCAACCAGGCAAGTCCTGGTGACCCTGAAAGGAGCCCTAACCACTACCCTTGATTTAGGTAACTCGGGCACCTACAATTTAAGATCATGTGCCTGAGCCACAAAGATACGGTCACCACCAGGCTAGCTGCACAGCCAAGCAGTGTCTGCAGGAAGGAACACAACACCAAGGTGTGCCTTAAGGCATACAAGGAAGAACAGATGGACACAACAGCTAAATGTCTCAACTGTGCCAAGAGGCATCATGCCTGGAGCCTGGCTTGCTCTGTCAGGAAAGAGGCAGGCCTCAAGCGACAAGAGGTTGCTAAAAAGCGACCAACTTTATTC